ACTTTATTTTTACGCTACAGGTCAAACCGCTCTTCGGCACACACATTTGATATAGGTCAGACCTAGTAATTTCACTTAGCACATGCTAAATGGATAGCAGACAGTTAAACTGTTTTTTTGTTCTGAGGCTATTCAGATGTTCTGACTTAAAGCCATCAGCCAAAATACTCACTTTCAATGAAAGTCAAGAAAAACATACTTGAAAAATATTTTACTCGCTCACCGCTCAATCCACAAAAAACTATGAAAGTATCAGAAGTGATTTTTTAATCACTTGTAAGCACTGAGTTGTTAAAACTAATGTCTCCCTTGATACTTGACCAAGCACATCACAAATAATAACCACGACTGTTAACTTGTCTTAACGAAAGTCTCCAAGGATATAGCGACTGGCTGTAAACAACTGACCCAACAGCTTCTGCTGAAACGTGCGTGAGGACTGCACAATTCACAAAGGTATTCTCTGCCTCATGCCTCCTAAGTCTTATTGAACAAAATACAATTAAACAGACAATGCACCATAAAACAGCAACAGAGGAGCATTCACAACAGATTTTTCCATCTATCAAAATGGGGTGTAACCACTGCCTATTTAGAATGATTCTTAATCTTACCCACAAGCTCTGCACATTCGCTGTATATCGTATATGGGCAAGAGCATCTAAATCAAATGTTTATGGTACACTGCAAAATCTACTTGATATTTGGGTAGCAAAAGTGAACCAATTTTCATTAGATATGCAGCATCTGTAGAAATTCATTCTTTTTATTTAGGTTTGTAAAAATTATTTACAGAATCTAGTTCTGTATGTGTCAATTATATTTAATTTGAAACATTTTTAATCCATTTGGGGTTAGCTTAACCTCCTGACTAAATATCCATTTTTATGAGAATATAACTTTTTAATACAGAGGAATGTCTTGAGAATTGGTTGTTCAATGTTTTTCCTTTACTGGCAGATGCTAGAGTAGAATTTATTATATGATTAAAAAAAAACGCTCAACAACCTAGCTTTAATATTTTAGTTTTACCTTTAAAATCTTGTGTTCTTATGTTGCCTTTCCAGTCTTTATCCCCAAAACTCACACATAGGCTTGTTGTCTTAAGACCAGTGAAAGTTCTTCTATTAGTTTTTCTAGTGACAAGCAAGCAAGAGTGATGAGTATGTTTCCACCTTTATTACTCATTTTTCACCCCTTTGGGAAGTAAGACGATGATCCCTGATATGGTCATTCTGTGAATCTATTCCCACTGTAAGTTAAAATCTTGTGTCCACTTAAAGATGACTAACACTGAGTGATCTACCGTTTTTTATTTTTTCCCAAAGGCTACAGTAGCCTTCCAGCTAACAAATCACATTAGTCAGTCTGAATTTTCTACTCATTAAGTTTAACCTTTTAAGCCTTTTTTTATAGCCGGTTGTATCACATTACCATTTCCTCATTATCCTACCAATGCCTGCTGTTAACTATATGCCAAGTACTGCAGCACTCCACCTTTTTAAGGAAACAGGGTCTTTCACCTGAAATACCCAAGAAAGGCATTAACCATTTCTACTTCATCTTCTGTTTTGACACTCCGTGATTCTGAAAGAATGCGTAAGTTCCCAACTGCGGTCATACAGTAACTGTCTGGCAGGGACACACCACTTCATATCTCATGAGGAAAAAAATATTAACCATATTTTGAGATATTCATAACCTAGGAACAGATCCAACAGTGGCAAAGAATTATGCTCTCAAAAAAAAAAAAACAGGCAATAAGAAATTCTAAGCTATGCTGGCTCATCTTCATTCAAAGATTACACACCTGTAATATCCCAGAGTGGCTTACAGCTGCATGGGTCTCACTTGGAAAAGGCATCATATGATCCGGAAAAAAGCTCTGTAACAATAACAATTTGTATCAAAGTTCAAGAAAAATAAATATAAAACTTCCTATCCCTTTTGGATGTAAAATTAAAGTTCTCCATGCCCTGCAAGACACTGCAGGTTCTCTGATCCAGTAATTCACATTTACCTTACTATTATTCCTAAACTTGTGGCATCTGATAAATCATTTGCTGAAAACTGTAAAAATTTTGAAAAAACATCACCAGTTTCTGGAAGCAAGGGGGTTTCCTACACCAGTACCTGGCCCTTAGTGCTGTTTTTCTAGTAGTAATTTCTATTGCTGTTGACATGTAAGAGTTGCCTCGGGGTTCAATGGGCTGCAGAGCAGGGGCAATATATGCCAACAGTGTTTTCTATTGCTTTCCTTACACTAGAAACCCAGCAAAACATTTTGGAAAAACTTCCATTAATAGAGGGTAAGTCCTAACCACTTTGTGTATGAGTATCAGATCTGACAACATCAGTAGGTTATGGTTAAAAAGTCCACATTTAAAGTGTTGATTTCATTATCACAGAAAGCTCAGGGGGCAATTTATGGACAGACCTGCAGCTGGGGAATTCAGTACAGTCATGCAAATATGAACCAGGCAAGAATGTGATCACTACTTATGAAGTTTTCTCAAGGTCTGGACAAGTTCGAGGCTAATATTCCCTTGACCAGCCAATGTTCAGTGACCTTCATTTCTAATAAAACTGAACTACTGGTAGGGTGGATTCATATCAACTCATTTCTGATAAAGCATCCCTGCTACACCTGGGTCCACAGTACCCAGAAGAATGACTCAACAGAAACAGTAAGGTCTCTGAGCAATCACAGTTGCTTATGCTAGTCATATCTGCATGTCTGCCACACTCCACAGCTGGTTCCACGCACCGGTTAACCAACACACTTCTTTGAAAGCTCTATGTTGGGGAGCATATTATTTTCTCAGAGAAACACAGGTGGAGAAAGAAAAAAAACTCAGACCACTTGGATCTTTTGTTATCTTAATATTTACCTTTTCATCCTGTCCTGGGTTCAGCAGTAGCAGTCATGTTTCTCCTCCTTGGTAGCTGGTGCAGTGCAGTGTTTTGACTTTCGGCTCGGGAACAGAGCTGATAGAGATGTTTTGGTTTGGCCAAGGACTTTGTGAGCCTCATGCTCTGCCAGGGAGGAGGGGAAGCTGGGAGGAAGCAGAGACAGGACACCTGACCCAAACTGACCAAAGAGGTATTCCATACCACAGCACGTCATGCCCAGGATGTAACTGGGAGTTAGCCGGAAGGGCTGGGAGACTGCAGGGTTGGAGGAGGTATCGGTCGGAGCTTGGTCGGGCTTGGGGGGCGAGTTATCGGTCAGCGGGTGGTGAGGTGTTGTATTCTGTTCCCTTGTTATTTCCTTTATCATTATTATCATTGGTGGTAGCAGTAGTGATCTGTGTTATACCTTAGTTACTAAACTGTTCTTATCTCAACTCGTGGGAGTTGCATTCTTTTGATTCTCCTCTCCGTCCCTCCGAGAGCAGGGGCAGGGCAAGAAAGGGGGGGAAGTGAGCGAACGAATTACCTGACTGGGTTTAAACCACGACACATCCTTTTCACAGGTAGATAATTTGAGCTCCCTTCCACTGTTCACCTTTCAAGTCCTCATACATTTCTGCTATTCCTCCCTTTGACATCTGAAGCAAACTGGCTTTACAAGAGACAGCATTAGGAGTGACCCAAACACACCATGCATGTGAGCAATCAACAGTGAACTCCTCCAGCTGAGCCAGGACTGCTTCCACGGCCTTTGTCATCAGCCACAGCCTGAATTAGCAACATTAACCTTTGGCAATACCCTTGAATTAGGAGTTGTCTTTGCTCTCCTTCCATTCCTTACATACACTAACTCTGGCTTCACTTCCACTTGCTCCTAACAGGCTACAGCTGCTCACAGCCCTTTGTGTCAGCTGTCATTTAGCTGCAGCTGTGAGAAGCTGCCACAGGGCACCACTGGCCCATAACATCCGATTTTCACTTAAACAATAAAATCCATCCTTGCTACAGATGCCCCTCCTCACACTGCTTTATTTTATGTTTTGCTGTCACTTGACAGAAACTTCACTCAATTTCAATCACTTTATTTTGTTGCAGGTCTATGTGCAAACATCAATAAAGTTAAGCCCATGCCTGCATGATGTTTATAGCTGAGATTAATTAACAGCTGAGCTAGTGGAGAGGCAAAAATGTGTTCCTTGGCCTCCCTCTGCTCAGCTTTGGGCCAAGACAGGAGAGCAGGCCTGCTGTCCTGTGACTGGTCACTGCGCTAAGGTGGTTGTGTGCTCTCAGAAGCCCCAACAGAAGGTGGGGATGCTCAAAGGCTGGTAGTTGCGAAGCAGAGGAGGAGATGTGGGCAGGCTGCCTTACCTTTCCTGGGCAGTAGTCTGCTGGCCCTGGCTTCCCTGCTTTGTCTCCTCCAAGGCTGCTTTTGGTTCCATCGTGTACATACATGGTAGGTCCTTTTCCATAGATGTCCAGCTCCACCTTGTGGAAAGCAGCAGGACCTGGTGTCTGTAAGAGAGGCAGGGAGGTTGCTGGGTACACAAGTGTTCTGCTGACAGGCAGGGTACTCAACAAAACGATTACACCCTAGCTATGTATCATGCAGTGGATGAAACAAGCACACTAAAGCAAACTGGGCAGATATCCCTCTATAGTAAATAAGTAAAATAATACAAATTGTGTATAAAAATATAAGTAAAGTACAGAGGACAACTGGCAATGCACCACGTCAGTACTGCATAGAGAGAACAGAGACTGAAGAAACACAGCAGCAGTCAGAACCCAACCATCCTCCAGGCCCACACTTCAGCTGGAAAGCCCTGTTACAGCTGATGCTGGGAGTCTCAGGTTACTGGGAAAGTTCCTACAAGGTCCATCCACCCACAGGTGAGGCCTCAGATTTGGCTACAAGAGGCTCCTGCTTTTATGCCCTTAGAAACACAAGGGGCTTTATGCCAGCTGTCACTGTTTACTCGTGGGGCCGTGCAGTTTCTCATCATCTCAGTGTTGGCCACACCCAGAGCATTGGCCAGGCTCTTGGCCGGCCTGCCCAAGTGGGAAGCTCTTAAAACACCTGCACCCTCATGGTTTCCTGCCTCTTTCTGACAAACAGTCACCATGAACATATACATATGCACTCTGCGAAACACACTGTGACAAAATCACACTGTGTTATGTCTCTCAGTCATGAGAGGGAATCAATTCTCAGCGAGGTTCCCATCCATTACACGCTCACAGCCAAATCCAAGTAGAGGAGCTGTATGCACGTAGAGATGGAGATGCAAATGGAGATTAAAAGAATAGTATGAAAAAATATTTTCACAAAATAATTGAAAACCACAAAAATTGCCTTCTTGATGTAGACACTCAAGTTTTCTACTGCAATAGAAAATAATCTGAACACAAAAAAACTCCCTTGGAGCCAAGACTACCCATTTTCTAAGAGCCTTCTGAGCTTTCATAATGGCACAAACAATCCTGAATTCCACAGGAGAAACTCAAACGTAAGCTTCTGTTTAGCTGGACGTTTGTGATGGATGATCTGTGGGAGTACGGGCCTTGAATAGCCCATGAGGGAGGGCATCTCTGCTTTTATAACAGGGACACAGGGCTATGACTTCAGTTTTCCAGAGAAAAAGAATGTTGTGCTTTGATTTGATTAACCCTACTGTGACTGATGGAAGAAGCCTCAGCATCTGTGTTTCAAGCAGCTTGCTTGCACAAGTCACACAGTGTTTATGGTGAAGATTTCCTGTGCCACATGCCTGACAAATTACTTTGCACTTTTAAATAGAGAAAGAATGCATTTCACATGGTATCTGCAAATTGTGAACAACGCTAATAAGAAGAGGACTTGATCTTACAAAGTACTGTGCTTATTCAGTCCTGCAGATAGAAGAGATCCTTCAAGTCTGTGCCGTGGGCTTCAGGTGTTCGTTAGGCCATAGTGCCTGCCCATCACAAATCCATGGATCCTGCTGACAATTCATTTTAAACTACGGTACAGTTCCCGCAGCAGATGCAGCATCAATACCTCCAGATGTTTCTACAGACTAGTGCCAGTTTGCTTAGCCACTGCACTCACACAAAGCAGCAAGTCCAGTGTCTGCAAGGAAAATGATTCTTATCCCCATGAGGGTGCCCATGCACAGTCACTGTATCTCACAAGCCAGATTCCACCAGAGCTGAGAATCATGAGTCTGCTGTTTTCATGGTTGCCACCAAATAGTTCAGGCCTGCCTTTGCACCTGCATCAGGACTGCCAGAAAACACCAGTCTGCGGCAGTGCCTATAATCTACCAGTTGTGGACATGCAGTATCAGTTCACTCCTTCTCACACCCTTTCCCTGACTGCAAGGGTGAAGGACAGCCTCTACCTGGGTCCCAATACCCTTGGGTAAGGAGCATTCTGAAGGGCAGATTTTGTCTAGTTAGGCCCACCAGCACTTTTGGATCACTAATGCGGCGCTTGAGCCTTTTGGGCATCTCCCCACTGCCCCAGTCCTGCCAGCCCATCTGTGCCAAGCACTTACAATCAACTCAGGGAAGCAGAGTAATGAGGACGTATTTAAGAAACTTAAAATGATCAGTAATATTAAGGCTGTAAATGACAGAATCACAGAATACCTCCCTACTGAACACAAGTGCACGTGTCCTGTCTTTCACACAACTGACTCGTTTGCTCTTCAAGATGCCTTCCTCAGCTTCAAGATGCCTTCCTCAGCTTACACGGTTTACCTTTAATGATTATTTCTAGTCAAGGTGGTTTGAATCCTACTAACCCTTAAAGCTCTCACAATGCAATTAGAGCAACCCAAGCTGGATCAAACTATTTTTACAGAAGTCACCTGTTAGAAACATGCATGCATGGAGGTAAAGTGCTCTTTTGTTAGATTTATTCTCAATTACCTTTATGCAGATGTTGGTTTGGGGCTGCATCTGTGGAGCTATTGGTGACTCCCATCCAATGCAAGCGGGTGTAGTCACTGGCAGCAGATGTCTGCATTCAAGACGTGGTGCCATCTGAGGAAAAAGCCACATCACATCATGTCATTAAGGCTCTCAAGAGGTTTTCAGTATTTTCCTGGTTAGAGTCTGAAGCAGCAAAGTCACTAGAAACATTGAAGCTGATAGCCACAGCTGCTGGTACGGATCCTTACAGCTCAAAGGCTATTGAGAAAACAGGAAGACAACTGAAAAGAGTGACGTTACTGACAACTAGAAGTAGGCCAGAAAGGTACTAAGTTAGTTTTCAGTAACATTAAAAAGCCAGAGAGAAGACAGTTACAGGCACCACTGTACAAATATGGTGCTCTTACATATATGCCCACACCTGCCACTGTTCAAAGTTTGAGGCATGATTCTATAGCTATGACTCAAGCAGTAGTTACTAACTAACCGCACTAGTTAGCACTGGAACAAGATGCATGCGCAGGTCCTGAAGATGCTGTGGTTGTTGTTGCAGCATGAAGAGGAACCTGAATTTGGTCAGGTTTCCTGACACTGGTGAAGAAAACACAATTTACTTTTCCAGTCTTAGCCTTACTAACATATCTGGCACTTGAAGGAACCTATGGTTCATTTTGCTCATCATTTAAGAATTACATCCAGTGCTAAAGGTATTGAACAAAGTCACAGAATCCCAGACTGGTTTGTGTTGGAAAGGACCTTAAAGCTCATCCAGTTCCAACCCCTGCCATGGGCAGGGACACCATCCACTGGAGCAGCTTGCTCCAAGCCCCTGTGTCCAACCTGGCCTTGAACACTGCCAGGGATGGGGCAGCCATAGCTTCTCTGGGCACCCTGTGCCAGCGCCTCAGCACCCTCACAGGGAAGAACTGCTGCCTAAGAGCTCATCTCAGTCTCCCCTCTGGCAGGTTCAAGCCATTCCCCTTGTCCTGCCCCTACAGGCCCTTGTGCAAAGCCCTTCTCCAGGTCTCCTACAGCCCCTTTAGGCTCTGGGAGCTGCTCTGAGGTCTCCCCTTAAGGAGCCTTTTCTTCTCCAGGCTGAGGAAGCCCAGCTCTCTGGGCTGTGGGTGAAGGCCAATGATGCACAAGGGGACGTGGATGAGAAATTAACCAAATATACTGTACTTTCATACACTGGTTTTTGCAGTCAAAGCAAAATGCAACGGCTTATGAACTTGATCTTGAAAACAATCGAGACTGCTGCCATGTATGAGACAGCTCATATGTCAGCAATACTGTTTGAATGCATAGAATTCAGTGCAAGTCGAGTTGGTGTATTTAAACATGGTGGTTAATTTTCTAAGTTCCTTAATGAAATGCACCCTCATAAAAATCATCATGAAATGCAAACAAAGTCTGGAGGCTCAATGTTCCACATGAACACAGAAGTTTTTACCTGGATTCAGAGCTCTTACTCAGACCTGATTTCATTTCTACAAGAGCATTTGTGTCTCCTTCATGGTTAGCCTTCCCTGGAAGAGGGATTCCAAATGGGACCACCTGAGGAACGGAGACAGAGCCAGCCACCACTTTCTCCACAGAGCTCTGGAAAGAAGAAAAACAAAAACGCAGACAATAATGTTTCTGAGCAGAACAATGCACTGAGAGATACGGTCTTTGAATGGGATTCCTGGATTCATTTGTTTCTCTTACAAGAGAGAACACCAGATTCTTTAAAGTGTTATTCCTCATTGCACAATTTTCACATCAGAAAGGAGCAAGGTCCTAACAACCATCCCAATTTCCACTTACGCTCCTGTTGCAGAACTGTGAACAAAGCTTGAGATGAGCTCTGCTGCTTTCACTTCACTTTGACCTTCCTTGCTCAGGTCTGGTTCCCATGTGCTCTATGCAAACAGCTTTAGCATCACACATCAATGATGCATGGCAGGAGGGAGTCCCAGGGAAGCCTCTGCACCCTGATGGCACATTGGAGCCAGCCTCGTTTCATTGCAGCCACCTGAATAGAAACAAGATGTCCTGCAAAGGACTAAAGCAAGACAGCCGTTGTTTGAGCTTATCTCAGCTTATGTATGCATTAAGAATATACCTATCAAACGGGTGCCAAACCTGACTTTTCATCATTTCCATAGTCATTACCATGTCACACAATTCAAGAATGACAAATTGCATTTAGATACAGTAACATTTTACAGCACACAAAGATGTACTCCAGATCTTGGGAACTGATCCTCAGGGCCAGGAAACGTCTGCACTGCAGTGTTTCCTTCTGTGACCACCCCTTGAATCCCCCAGACACACCTTTTACCCTGGTCACCATCGCACACAGCACTGATTCAGCGCGGCAGGGGTTCCGCAGTCCCTGCTCTGTCTGGGGCTGTGCCCATCTCCTTGCCTGGGTTGCCCACAGCAGTGGTTCAGGACTGGGGCAGTTCTCAGGCAAACTCTCTTGGGCTGCACACACACGGTGTGCACAGGATACACAAGGTGGGAGGATCAGATCTTTACCTGATGCGGGTAAATGGGGATCTATGGGGCTGAAGGGGGAAGCTGTGGGGCTAAAAGGGGGATCTGTGGGACTGAGATCTATGGGGCTCAATGGGGCATCTATGAGGCTCAAAGGAGAGAGATCTAGGGCTGAAGGGGACAATCTGTGGGGCTGGGGTGGGCATTAAAGCAGGCACTATGGGGTGGGATCTACATGGCAGGGATTGATGGGGCAGGATCTATACAGTGGGATCTATGGGGCAGTACCTGTGGCAGTGCTATGCGGCAGGCTTTATGGGGCAGGATCTACGGAACAGTACCTGTGGCAGCACTATGGGGCAGGCTCTATGTGGCAGTACCTGGAGCAGGATCTATGGGTCAGACTCTATGGGGCAGTACCTGGGGCAGCGCTATGGGGCAGTACTTAGGGCAGTGCTAAGCGGCAGGATCTATGGGGTAGTACCTGGGCAGCGCTATGGCGCAGGCTCTATGGGGCAGTACCTGGGGCAGCGCTATGGGGCTCGGCAGCTCCATCCCCATAACCCCAAAGAAGGGGTCCGGGGCCAGTTGCAGCTCCAGCATCTGGGCCTAGGCATCCACCAGCACCTGCAGGCTGAACACAGGGGGCTATGGGGTGGCTATGAGGCACTCTGTGGGGCTCTATGGGGTCTCTATAGGGGTCCATGGGTTGCTACAGATATCGACGGGGTCCCTATGGGGCAGCCTTTTATGTTCTCTATGGGTCTCTATGGGGTACCTATGGGGGCCCTATGGGGTCTCTATACAGCCTCTAAGGGTCTCTGTGGGGTCTCTAAGGGTCTATGGGGCACTATGGAGTCTCTCGGGGGGCTCTATGGGGTCTCTATAGGGGCCCTAAGGGTCTCCATGGAGTCTCTATGGGGGCTCTAAGGATCTCTATGGGGCTCTACGAGTCTCTACGGGGCTCTATAGGTCTCCAGGGAGCTCTATAGGGCTCTATGGGGCTCTGTAAGGTCTCTACGGGGGCTCTATAGGGGGGGTGAGAGGGGGCTGGACCCAGTGCAGCCATTCCAGAACCAGTGCGGCCTCTTCTGAGGGGTGACCCACAGCAGCCTCAGCCCCACAGAGACCGATGGGAACCCCACAGAGCCCCACAGCCACCCTATAGAGCCCCATAATCCCAACAGCCAACCGACAGAGCCCCCAAAACCCCCACAGCCACCCTATGAAGCCCCATAACCCCCATAGCCACCCTATGGAGCCCCGTAACCCCCGACAACCACCCTAGAGAGCCCCATAACCCCCATAGCCACCCTATAGAAACCCGTAACGTCCATGGCCACCCTATAGAGGTCCATAACCCTCCATAGCCACCCTATAGAGCACCATAACCCCCACAGCCAACCTATAGAGCCCAATAAACCCCCACAGCCACCCTATGAAGCCCCATAACCCCCATAGCCACCCTATGGAACCCCATAACCCCCAACAACCACCCTAGAGTGCCCCATAACCCCCATAGCCACCCTATGGAACCCCATAACCCCCAACAACCACCCTAGAGTGCCCCATAACCCTCCATAGCTACCCTACAGAGCCTCATAACCTCCACAGCCACCCTACAGAGCCCAATAAGCCCCCACAGCCACCCTATGAAGCCGGATAACCCCTGACAGACACACTAGAGAGCCCCATAACCACCCACAGCCACCCTACAGAACCCCATAATGCCCATGGACACCCTACAGAGCCCCATAACTAACCAATAGAGCCCCATAACCCCCATAGCCTACCTATAGAGCACCATAACCCCCATAGCCACCCTACAGAGCCCCATAATCCCCACTGCCAACCTATAAAGCCCCATAACCCCCATAGCCTACCTATAGAGCACCATAACCCCCATAGCCACCCTACAGAGCCCCATAATCCCCACTGCCAACCTATAAAGCCCCATAACCCCCATAGCCACCCTATAGAGCCCCATAACCCTCCATAGCCACTCTATAGAGCCCCATAGCCACCCTACAGAGCCCCATAACCCCCACAGCCACCCTATAAAGCCCCATAACCCCCCACAGCCACCCTATAGAGCCCAATAACCCCCCACAGCCACCCTATAAAACCCCATAACCCCCCACAGCCACCCTATAAAACCCCATAACCCCCCACAGCCACCCTATAGAGGCCCATAACCCCCCAGAGCCACTAAATGGAGCCCCATAACCCCCTACAGCCACCCTATGGAGCCCCATAACCCCCAGAGCCAACCTATAGAGCCCCATAACCCTCCATAGTCAACCTACACAGCCCCATAATCCCCATAGCCACCCTATAGAGCCCAATAAACCCCCACATCCACCCTAGGAAGCCCCATAACCCCCACAGCCACCCTATAGAGCCCCATAACCAACCTATAAAGCCCCATAACCCTCCATAGCCAACCTACAGAGCCCCAGGTGAGGCGAGTAGCTCGAGAGAGGATGCCTTCAACACTGGAGCGGGGGGAGATCAGCGTCCAGGAGCCTCAACTCAGAGCGGCGAGAGCCACCGAGGGAGCCTTGAGTCCTCAACAGGACCTGCCCGGGAGCCGGCAGCTCAGCTGACGCCAGCAGGGACTCACAGGGGACAGAGCCTGAAGCAGTGGCACCAGCCCTCAGTGGGTAAAAACCTGCCCCAGGGAGCGCGAGCGACCAGGAGCGGGTCGAGGCAGTTTGCGTGGGCAGGCGAGCGGGATGGTGAGCACTCGTCGTATGACCAGGGCCCCGTCTGGGGGCTCTGCTCTGCCTGCCCCGGCGCTGGCAGCGTAGGCACCCAGACAGAGCCGATGAGAGGGGAGGCTGCAGTGCAGAGCTCGGAGTGTAGAGAGTGCCTGCGCTGGTCTCCTGAGGGGAGGGTGCACAATGGGGAAGGCTGCACTCGGTGCTCCCTGGTGGACGTCCTCCTGCAGCAGGGGTTGAGCTGCGGGATGCTGTTAATAGACTGCGAGATGTCAGGGAAGCTGAGAGGAAGCAGGAATGTTTTCTCCTGGCCCAAACTGTGCAGGGGCCTTGAGCTTCACCTCTAGCTCATGAAGAAGGAGGCCATTAATCCAGGAAGCTGGGAATTAGTGACAAAAAAAAAAAACCAACAAAAAAAGAAGGAAAAGGACAATCTAAAGCAAGGGGCTTCCCCCTAAATCCCCTGTCCCCATGCAGAACCGCTCTGCTGTCCTGCAGGGGGCTAATGAGGAAACGCACTTGGGCCAGAAACAGCCAGCTGATGCACTGGTAAAGAAGATCTCTACTGGTGCTGCCAGGAAAAAGCAGTGGGTCGTAGTAGTAGGGGACTCTACACTGAAAGGGACAGAAGCACTCGTCTGTTGGCCTGACCCCATCTCAAGGGAGGTGTGTTGCCTACCGGGGGCACGGATCAGGGATGTGGAAGAGAGGCTGCCTGCTCTAGTAAGTCCCACGGACTACTACCCACTCCTGGTGATACATGTGGGTGCTAGGGATATAGACAGTAGTAGCCTGAGGAACATAAAGAAGGACTACAGAGCCCTGGGGGAGGTGGTTGGGGGCTCTGGAGCCCAGGCAGTCTTTTTGTCAATTCTCCAGGATACAGGGGAGGACCTAAAAAAAGCCAGGAGGATTAGCCAGGTTAATAACTGCTTAAAAGGGTGGTGTCATAGTCAGGGGTTTGGGTGTCTTGAACACGGGACCCAAGTTTGTAGGCCAGGTCTAGCGGGGGCTGGTGGAGCTGGTCTGATGATAAAGAAGGGAAAGAGCAGTTTTGGTAGGAGGCTTGCCAGACTGGTCAAGGAGTCTTTAAACTAGTTCTGTTGAGGGAGGGGGGCATCATTCCATCCCAACACTCCCAGTCAGTTGCCAGAATCTATAATAAATGCCTGGAGCAATGTAGAGATATCCCAGCCACTCCAGCCAATGAGCCGGCTTCATGTGGAGCTCGGCTCAAATGCCTCTATACAAATGCCGGGAGCATGGGGAACAAACAAGAGGAATTAGAGATGCGTGCACATCTATGGGGTATGATATAAGGGGAATCACAGAAACATGGTTGGATGGCTCCTATGACTGGAATGTTGGAATGGAAGGTTACAGGCTCTTTAGAAAAGACAGGCCTGGCAGGCGGGGAGGTGCAGTTGCCCTTTATCTTAGGGATAGGCTGGAGAGTATGGAACTCTGTCTGGGGACAGGTGAGCAGTTAACAGAGAGTTTGGGGGTCAGGGTTAAAGGGAATATAGCTATGGGAGACATTACTGTGGGGATCTGTTACAGACCGCCTGATCAAGGAGAACCTGTGGATGAAGCACACTATAGGCAGATAGCAAAAGCCTCACGCTCACAGGCCCTTGTTTTCATGGGTGACTTCAACCACCCTGACATCTGTTGGAAGGACGGTACAGCCTGCCACAAGCAATCCAGGAGGTTCCTCGATTGTGTGGAAGAAAACTTCCTTCTGCAAGTCATAGAGGAGCCGACAAGGAGAGGTGCCATGCTTGACCTCGTACTCACCAACAGGGAAGGGCTCATTGGAAATGTGATGCTCCAGACAAGCCTTGGATGCAGCGATCATGAGATGGCCAAATTTGAGATCCTCAGGACAGTGAGGAGAGCATGCAGCAAGCTCACTGCCCTGGACTTCAAAAGAGCAGACTTTAGCCTCTTCAGGAACCTGCTTAGTAAGGTTCCATGGGAGACAGCCCTAGAGGGCAGAGGGGCCCAAGACCGTTGGTTGATATTCAAGGATCACCTGCTACAAGCTCAGGAGAGCTGCATCCCAACTAGAAGGAAGTGCAGCAGGAGGGCCAGGAGACCTCCTTGGATGGATAAGGAGCTGCTGAGGAAAATTCAATTGAAAAAAGAGGCTTATAATAAGTGGAAGCAAGGACAGGTGGCATGGGAAGAGTACAGGGATGTTGTCTGGGAAGCTAGGGACCAGGTTAGGAAAGCTAAGGCTCAGTTAGAATTAAACTTGGCTAGGGATATTAAGGATAACAG